TACTCCTCTTCTGTGTGTGCCAGCATAGCCAGGTGATTCCTATGGGGGGGGGGGGGGGGCACATGTGCAGGCTTGCTCCCAAGTTGGGCTGTGTGTCTATAGACACACACACACAGCACGGCTCGTCGCTCCCTCCTCACAGTCTTCCTGTGAGTCCTCAGAATCTCCTGTGCGAGCAGAGAAAGGAGGAGAGTTGCTGCAGATGGGTACAGCCTCTAATTGACAGAGGGCTCAGGTAAGTATTTAAGGGGGGCTGGGGAGCAACTATTGAATAAGTTAAAGGTAAAATAAAAGCCTTTTGAATTTACAACCACTTTAAAGTAATTCTGTCATGACAGACATACAAGGGCTGATACTTCTGACTGCCTTCTGAAAATACTAGTTGCCTGTTTGTTATGCCAACCCATACCAAGTACTCATATCTAGACAGTCAGAAGTCCTTAGCATCAGGAGAGTTCGGCAACGCAGTCTCGATATTTCCTTCATATAAATATAAGCAAACCCACCAAGTTACATCACTACACAGGGTCTTGTTTGTTCCCTATACATACACACATACAAGTTAACACATTTCTATAATTTACAAAAAATAAATCACAGACATGTAAATTAAAAAAAAAAAAAATCCCCAAACATGTTTTCCAGTTTTATTGTTAAAAAAAAAAAAAAAAGTAACAACGTAACAAAAAAAAGTATCTTCAATGCTCAAAACAGAACACGCTTATAACATTTCTCATAGTCCTCCCATCAATACTGATCTAACCTTGAAAAAATAAACAAATTAAATCTCCCCAAGCTTTTTTTTTTTTTTTTTTTTTTATTTACAAAGAAAAACAAATAATTTCTCCCAGACATTTCTCATCTTTAAAATATTTACACTGAAAAAATTATTTTACACATTAGAAAAACAAACTGTGAGAAAGGTGAATTGTTTGTGAAAATGTAAACTGCTTTTTTGCACTGTGATGGCATATAGTTCAGACGTCACCCCGTCATTTGGAGAACAATGAAGTGCAGGCCCTTTGGCGGTACATGGGCGGTTTTCCTTCACAGTGCGTAAACTTGGTTAAAACGGTCTTCAGTAAGCAAGGCGGACAAAATAACAGTTCGCTTTATCATTAAACACCATTAGCTTTCAGTGAGGTAAGAACTGTTTCAGAGACCCTGATCTGGCCTGGAGCACAACGTTTCCTTCTGTTGGTAGCCACTTAATGATAAATAGCAGTAAAAAAGTGTCCCAACTGTACACAAAGATGGCCATATTATGGCCGGTACCAGCATCAATTAATAAAGAGTATGTCAATTGAGTAAAAAAGCTGAAACATGGACATGGGTTCAGCTCACAGAACAGCATGAAGCCAAAAAGCTACAAATAAAAGAAAAATTTCACTTTCAGAGAGAATAGTAGGAAACCTCTTCCTCCCCCTAAGCAATGACACAAAGATGGGTTCCCCCCTTTTTGGGAACCTACCTTTATGTTAAACGCATTTAGGTATGTTAGCTTTCTGTAGGCTAGCAGCAAATAAGGACAGACTGCATAAGAAACCAATTTCATTTCATAGTAGGCACGATGTCAGCATTCTGGGAATAAGGGGAGGGGGGCATTAAAGTGCTGAATGCTACGTATCCCCACAGCACTGCTTAATCAGCAGAACAGCAAGGTCGGAGATAGAGGGAATCCTTCCCGACTGACACAGCTGGAAAAAAAAAAAACAAACCCAAGGGAATCACTCTCTCTGAAAATAGAAACCTCCTTTTAAACAAGTTTAGATAGTGCACTTTAAAGAGTGATGTACTTTTTCCTAAATAAAACCTCTTTTCCGAAAGAAGCAGCCATTGCCAATATCTGATTCTGCAAATGCTAGTTGCTTGGCTATCAAGCTGACACTCTGGCTTCAATACTTTGAGTAACCGACCTTGAACAAATATGCAGTTAAGATTTTCTCATTTCCCTGATCTTGCATAATTATGTTGGTTCGGTGACTCAAACTATTGAAGCCAGCGACTCCGTATAATAGTCCAGCAACTAGCATTACCAGAAAGAGATCAGCAAATGCAGTCTTCATGTTTCTATCAGGAAAGGTTTACTTTAAGCCTTGTGGCATAGACATTGGGCTACATGGTCTACTTTACTGGATAGAAAGCACCTGTGTGCCCCCCTGTGATAACAACTAGCCCAGCGATTACAACAACCACCAGTGCTGCTTCTAGGAGCCAATCTGGGCCCTGCTTTAATGGATCCTGACTCACACTGGCCATTCTTCTCTACAAGCCAGTCAGTGCGAGAAGTGCTCCCTTTGTTGATGTTATCAGGACACAGACTATGATCAGTGATAGAAGTAGTACTGCTGGAAGCTGTAAACATCTTATGGGAGCAAACATATATCCAGTAATATGGCCTGCAAGTACCCAATAGCTGTGCCAGGCAGTGGAGGTATAGCTACACTTTTAATAGACGCAAAAAGCAGTTTTCAAGAGCACTGCAGAAAACACAGGGAAACATTTAATGGTCGTGGCACACTACTATGCTATAAGTAATAGACAAAGTGCACAAGTTTTGAAGAAAGGACTGCTACATACAGCTGTTCATTAAAAAATATGAAGGTTTACAAGCATCAGGGTGAGCATTTTGTGTTTCAAATCTGAAGAATCTTATCTTTTTTTTTTGTTAAAAATAAATAAAAAGCTTTTTATTTGCCTGATTTGCAGAAAAGCATATACAGTTTATGAACTGTCATTACCCAAATTACATGATTCCCTGCAGACAGGACAAAACACATTTGGCCAATCAATAAATGATCTACCAAAAAGGATGAGTTTCACAAACTGATTTGTGAAATCTCAAATGTGGCGAGACTTCGGAAATGTGGACAGTGTATGTACAGGGGATAATAGAGTGAGATAGCAGCAACTGTGAGAATGAATGTCAGAATAAATTAAAGTGGAAAGCTTTGTATAGTCTTTGGATGAAAAAGGAATATGGAATATGGTTAAAAAGATGTCCGATTTGTGCCAGTGCCTGTTAAGGAGACTTTTCCCTCACGTCCTGTTCTGCGACAAGTTGTCAGCAAGAGAGAAAATATTTCTGATCATGACACAGACTGCAATAAAATGGTTGTTTTTCTTTTCTTTAGGAAAGATTAGAACATCTCAGGTCCTTAGTGTGGTTTGGTCTTATTGTGGTTGAAATTATTATCCTCAAATCCTCAGTAATAGGTGGCTACAGTAAGGGGAAATCTCCTTGATTGGGGTAGGGTGGCAGGCAGAAGGACCATCTTGTTTCCTGCGCCTATGCTACAGTGCTAGCATTGTCAAGTAATAGCCACGCTCCACCTTACATAGACTCAGCCCCGGTTCACATATATGCGAATTGGATATGTTTTGAACAGCATCCGATTCTCATGACGTGTGAACCAAAATGGCTTTCTATGGAAATGGTTCACATATGTGCAGGTTGGCTTCAGTGTGATTTTAAAGAGTCAGGTACGATTTTCAGTCTAGTTTAGATGTGATTTCCAGTGTCATACACTTTTAAAATTTGCACCTTAACAGCTGAATGAAACGGCATCAGACTCTTTAAAATCTCACTGAATCCAGCCCCAGAACATATGTGAACCTGGTCTCAGACTTCAGAGGAAAAGAGGAGTGTCTGGCCAGTCCTGTTACAGACTGCCGATTACTGGGAGCACTGGGTTCCTACTGGACAGTACAATCCTGTCCTATTTGGACACTCAGTACAAGAACATGGAGGCAAAGCTATAACAGTTAGGCAGTACAATTTCTGTGACTTCAAACTGGGCTTTATATGCATTTGATACAGTTGGATGGTGATAGTGTGTCTATTACCTTTTCAGTATTTCTGTGGATCAGAAATCAGAAGTGAAAGTACTCGAAGCCCTGCTTCAAAGCTTTTCACAGTCAACCTTATCCAATTTAGCTGCTGGAGCCCGGAGGTGTTTAGGTGAGAGAGCAGGAGAGGAAGAAGGTAAAGAGGTGGCCAGAATTATTCATATTAAAGCTGGAAGCAGGGAGGTGACAAAGGAACCCAAAATTCTTCAGATTTTCAAATTAACGTCACCCATTAACCATAATGTGTGGCAGAGAGAAAGAACAGCTGATCAGAATTACAAATATTCTGACAGGTAAACAGGTCACATATGCATTTCAGCTGAAGTTCCGCTTTAAGAGGATGCTGTTGCACAGGTTAAACACAAACCAGCATACCTGCTACATTTCTAGCCTACCCAAAATGGATAGGTTTTCTTTATACTGATTCTCTCAATCTGTTTCTAACATCGGGTGATGCCAGCTTTAGTTCCCCTCAGAGGCAGTGCTCAAGATGTATGAGGCAGATGTATAAAACTGGCATTCATAATGACATCAGTAAAGAATGCAATTTCTACACTTGCCTCATACGTGGGGCATGGTGGACAGCATTCTAAACCTGGTTCAACACTCTGGTAAGTAGCTGGGCTTTGTGTGGCAGAGTGGAATTTCTACACCATGAGACTGGTAATTCCTGTGAAATGTCACACACTGTTTGAGACTTTCTTAGCAGGGTAGCTCCTCTGTGAAAGCACTTGACCACCGTTAAGCAGAACAGGGACCCTGACAACATAATGTTTTAACACTGTAATAAGAACAGCAAATGGGGGAGAAAAGACAAAAGAAAATGGCTAAATACTCTGCATAGATGAGGCAATAAAGACAATACAAAAAAGTTATGAAGTTTATGTATAAAAATAAATTGACAATATTTTGCTCCAGAAGCATTTAAAAACTTTTAGTGGGAAACTGAAAAATCCACAAAACGAAAGAAAAAAAAAAAATTAAATTTGATGATGGAGAATAACTTCAAAGCCAGTGGGGTCTGAAATACATTGCAGGCCACGCTTGAGGGTAGAGAAAGGCAACATTAACCCCTCGGGTCTTGTACACATCAACTTGCAGTGCATATAATTCAGTACTTAAAAGGTTGTCACAAGACAAGGGTTGCCTGGCTATTTACGAGGTGTCCTGTGCGGGGTTTGCTTCTTCTGCATTTCAAGACGGCATCGACTCCGCTCGTCCAGCCAGGGGAGCTCAAAATTCCTATATGGGGGAAAAAGAAAAAGTATTAAAAGAACATAGGAGGCTTTTCCAATAAAAGAGCAGAAAACGTAGAGAGGGTCAGTACTTAGATCTCAGACATAACGATGAAAGGACAACTTATGATGCATAATACACGATTGACTAGATCTGTAGCCAGCTACTGCTGATCTCTAAAAATTCTTGTCAACTTTCTGTCATGTGGATCATACAGCTTCACTACTTTCATCAGATCATTTTGACTTAAAGTATTAAAGCGGAGTTCCACCCAAGTGGAAGCTCCGCTTCTTTGTCTCCTCTCCCCCCCCTCTGCCATATTTGGCACTTTTTGGGGGGGAAGGGGGGATACCTGGTTTTGACAGGGACTTGCTCCCACTTCCAGCTCAGTTTGCCCTGGCGTACTGAGCTGGAATTTCGGCCCCCTCCTTCCTCCCGCAGTCTTCTGGGACACTTCACAGGTCCCAGAAGACTGCTGGACCAATCAGGATGCATAGTGCGACTCACGCATGTGGAGTGGGCACCCGGCTGTGAAGCCGCAAACTGTCACAGCCTGGAGCCCACAGTTGACATGCCGGCACGGGGAGAGAAGGGACAGCACAGGTGAGCACATCGCTGGACCCCGGGACATGTGAGTGTGTGTTTATTAAAATCAGCAGTTTTTGTAGCTGCTGACTTTATACAAACACAAAACTGACTGGAACTTCGCTTTAATGCCAGAGAAAGCCAAACAACCAATATTCATACATGACCTGCAATGGCAACCTCCTTAATTTCCCCAAGTGAAGGTTACATATAAATGATAAAGCTAGCATTTGCCTTCTGACTACAGCATACAAAAAGTAAATATAAGCCGCTACACCCCAGATATAAAAGTAGGTTCAGTATTGCTATTGCTCCCAGTACAATCCTGCACATGTGCCAAACAAAATGGAAAACATAACGGTCTGTCTGGCAGACAAGCACCGGGCAGACTGCCATTATGCTCTATGGTTATATGCCTACTTCATGCTTGGTGCCAAGTGCAGGATTGCATGAGAATCTGGGAGTGCTGGAGATAGCAACCAGATCCATTTTTTAGGCAGTCACAAGCAGTAGTTTTTTGCCTTTTGGAAAACAAAATTTTTCATGATTATAGACCAGCAATGGGCAAACTACGGCCCGGCGGACCTTTTAATCCGGCCCGCGGAGCTAGGCTCCCGCAAGGCCAGTGGTCGGCAAGCCGCGGCTCTTTACAATAGATGCGGCTCTCCTGTGTGCCGGGCGCCCGCTCCCCTCCCTCCCTCTCGGGCGGGCGGGCGACCTCCTCTCCTCCTCTCCCCTCCCCTCCTCTCGGATGGCCGCCCCCCCTCTAGGATGGCCGCCCCCTCCCTCCTCTCGGGCGTCAGGACTCTGCAGCTGTCAGGATGTAGGCGGGGCAGCCAGGATGTAGGCGGGGGGCAGCGTGACGAACTCTTCTCTCACAGTCCTCCCTGAAGACCAGAACGGCGCGGGAATACGAGAGGAACGCGCGGAGGAGCAAAGGTAAGTGAATTGACACAGGGGGGGCTTACTATATGGGGAATGAATTACTATATGGAGGACTTACTATATGGGGGACTTACTATATGGGGAATGAATTACTATATGGGGGACTTACTATATGGGGGATGAATTACTATATGGGGGACTTACTATATGGGGAATGAATTACTATATGGGGGACTTACTATATGGGGAATGAATTACTATATGGGGGACTTACTATATGGGGGATGAATTACTATATGGGGGACTTACTATATGGGGGATGAATTACTATATGGGGGACTTACTATATGGGGGACTTACTATATGGGGAATGAATTACTATATGGGGGACTTACTATATGGGGAATGAATTACTATATGGGGGACTTACTATATGGGGAATGAATTACTATATGGGGGACTTACTATATGGGGGACTTACTATATGGGGGATGAATTACTATATGGGGGATGAATTAATATGGGGGATGAATTAATATGGGGGATGAATTACTATGTGGGGGATGAATTACTATGTGGGGGATGAATTACTATGTGGGGGATGAATTACTATATGGGGGATGAATTACTATGTGGGGGATGAATTACTATGGGGGATGAATTACTATATGGGGGATGAATTACTATATGGGGGATGAATTACTATATGGGGGATGAATTGCTATAAGGGGGATGAATTGCTATATGGGGGACGAATTACTATATGGGGGACGAATTACTATATGGGGGATGAATTACTATGGGAGATGAATTACTATATGGGGGATTAATTACTATATGCTTACTATGGGGGAATATTACTATACTTACTATGGATGACACATACACATCATTCATCTACTCTTGGTCCGGCCCCCGGGGTCCAATATATGAACCCATTGCGGCCCTCAAGTCAAAAAGTTTGCCCACCCCTGTTATAGACCTTAAAATAAAAATCAGGGTAGGATAAAAGCTTGGAGGACAGTGTACTTACTGTGGGGTTATTTTGGGCAGGGATCGTCCAAACGCCACAACAGGGAGGTAGGGGGTAATCAACACAGACTGCACTGTAGCAGAAAAATAAAGTGAGACTACACAGAACAAACTTTGAAACACATTGCATGAGATTAAACAGAAGCAAATGTGTAACATGCCACAAGAGACCACATTAAATAAATAATTACAGCACAAAAGTGATTTAAGGTCCTCATAGGTCTTGCCTTTCCAGGCGCTAGAACCTTTACAGAGATTTTTGGAGTTCCAATATTTACCATAAGCAGAGGAAAGTTGAAGGCTTTAGCGAAACAATACTCCCCTCAACAATTTTAAAGTCAAATCTACACAGTGGATGGAGATAATAGACACAGCTCAATGGTTTATTATTTCACAGTAGGAGTTGCAGTGGTACAAGTTTAGCTTACCTTCATCAGGTTCCGGAAAGAAGGAGGTGACCTCTGGCTCACTTTCCTGATTGCCCTTCTTTTTGTACATCCTCAACTGCAGACGCTGCAAGATTCTCTGTTCACGGATCCTCTGTATGTCCCACCTACATGACATGTATGAGAGAATAAAATGTAACACCTTGTTTTTATCCCTGAGACAGTGCTACACTTAGTTTATATACTTGTTGATCTTAGGTTAGCCAAAAATGGGATATTTCCCAAAGAAAAAACCTGAAGGAACATACAAAGTTTGGACAAAAAAATGGAAACACTACATGATTTGCAGGTGTGAAAGTGACAACAGGTTTCATGTTGAAAGTGATGTAACTTTCTTTTGCTTCCGCTGTATGATGAGACACCTAGCTAACAGGATGGAAGCCTCAGTTTCGTCATTCGCTGTGTGTGCTGCTAGTAATACGTAGTCATGTCAGAGCTTACTGAGCTTCAAAGAGAGCAAATTGTTGGTGCCCATTTAGCTGATGCCTCTGGGACTGAAGTTTCCAATTTTATTTGCCGTGTCGCAAGGTACCGTATCAAAGGTTATGACAGCATTTACAGTTTCTGCAAAACACGTATCTGATAAGCATGGTCGACATGACCAAAAGAGTCCCATGAAGCCCTAGACTGTCTCTGCAGTCACTTTTGCAGCAGTTGTTTCAGCTGACCACATTGACTGCGGTTATGCTTATCAGACAACGTTTTCCCAGAAACTGTATATGCCGTCACAACCTCTGATACTGTACTTCACGACACGCCTAATAAATTGTAACAAGCTGCACCAACACCCCACCCAATACTAACAGTGGCACAAAGAAACATTGATCCTCTGTTCTACGCAGGATGAAAGGATTGGGCATATTTGCAGGAAGAGTCCAACAACTTGGAAAATGGCCCTATTCATTGACAAGCACTCCCAATCATTTTAGGAGCCTGCTATTGCCCTCGTTCAGCATAGTTTATTTTGCAGAAACTTTGGCCTCATTCAGTAATGCTAAACCTCAGGCAGATATTTTTTTAATGCAACTGTGCATAAATTATATACAATTAAAAGTGTTTTGGGTTACAGACAGCAGAGGTAAATGAATCTGTCCTCATACTAGCCTTTTGGCGTTCCCTTACACAGCATCAACCATACAGAGAAAGGAAGGGAAAAGCAATAAACAATGAACATGCTGGCAGGAAGAAAGTGCAGTTGATGACATATTGGTGTGTTGTTGCTCCTTCATTGCCCAATCAACATATTTCGGATTACACAATTGTATTTCTTAGCTCAACAGGGAAAGTGGAGTCATCCTACTTGCTGTGCTGTATGGCAGAGATGTATGAATCACAACAGTGGTTGCACAGCATTACAAATCAGTTGAGAAGGCACTTCACATGTATAATTCAATGTGTATTTAGTCATTTGCCTAAGGTTCAGATTCAATATGCCCATTTGTTTTAAACGCTTCTCTTAGTAAGCAGGGGAAACAAAAAGCAGAGACTGAAATACAAGCACTGGATCTCTCTTGCATCTACTGTCCATGTAAACAAAACCTCACTGAATACAAATAATATTGCTACCCACATGATAGGTTTATTTAGTCAGACAGTGGAAAAATATAATGGGCAAAGTGAAGTAACTTGTGGAATCTATTGACAAAAAAAAAAAAAAAAAAAAAAATCATAGTTCATGGTACAGACTGTTTACCAGTAACACACTTTAGAGGTTTTACCCCTCTTTCCTGTATTCTGCTACATGTCTTTGCGTAAAAAAAAAAAAAATCCCAATAAATGAAAATTAATTGGTTTAGGTGAAAGTTATAGCATCTACAAATGGTGGTATATATACTGGGTTTTTTAGATTTTTTTTATACTAGTAATGGCGGCGATCAGTGACTTATAGTGGGACTGCGGCAGGCATTCTGACACTGGGTGGGAACTGGCGAACTGCCACTGACATTCCAATGACCCTAATACAGTGATCAGTGCTAATAAAATGCACTGACAATGTACTAATGACACTTAGCAGGAAGGGGTTAACATCTGGGGTGATCAATGTGTTAACTGTGTGCTGTTTTACATGATGTGCTGTGTGTGCGTTTTACTAGGGAGACATGCTGCTGTGTATTTCTCTGCTGTGCAGAGAAATACACAGCAGCATGTTCTTGCTGGCAGGAGAGAGACCTGTGTTGTTTACACACAGGTCTCTCCCCTGTCAGTTCTACATGGCGATTGCCGGGGAATATCAGCCGGGACCCAGTGATTGACATCCATAGCTGCCAATAATGGCGAGGGTAGGTAGGGCGGTGCCCTTTACCCAGAAATGCAAATCACACGCACACATATAGTAGTTCTACTATAGGGCAGCATGAACACGGCTAATTATTATGGTGCACACTGTCCTTTGCCCTGCTTTAGTTAACAAGCCTAAAGGGTATACAAAAGTCAGGAGCACCATAACAACATAATACATCTGCTAGAAGGTTAAACACAATACTGGACACAAAAAAGTGAAGTGCCTGGAATAAACTACAGATCAGGCACCAGTACGGCTGCAGCACTGGTGCCCGATCCGTAAAATCTTGAGCACTCCACTTTATGTCCCACACATCCATGAACCCATCCCCAAAATGCAATGAATACCCACTTTTGTATCATGTTTGCTAAAACCTTTGACTGGACCTAGTTTTTGTGGCATGCTTGTCTTTCATATACCCTTTAGACTTTGATGCCCCGTGTCGATGAAGAGCAGCCTCAAGAAGTTTTATCATTTGCCTCACTGAATCCAGGTCACCTTAGAGGCCAGTGTTCCTACAATACATCTATTATTGAACAAACCTGACTGTCTATGGTGCCTTCACACTTACCGCTTTCTCCTCTTTTCATCCAGCTCTAACTTAGCATGTCTCTTTGCAAACACTGCATCATCCAGGTTCTAGGAAGAAAGGAATAGTATTTAGCTGGAAATATATTTGTCAAATATCCCCACAATGCTTCATTTCAGGTACAATGATGTTATTAAAAAAAAAAAAAAAAAAAAAAAAAAAAAAAAACACATTCGGCCTACATAGTGGAACAATTTATACTATTGTATCACAGTGAATATATAAAAGCTCCCGCATTGCACAGATGGTCTGTGCAAAAAAAACAAACAAAAAAAAACAAACAAGAAAAAAAACAAACACCTTACCTCTGGTATGTCTGCACCATTCAAGTCCTGAAGGGGCTCTATAGGGTGCTCTCTCCATGAAGGAACTATAAAAACAACACATATTAGAATACCACACATACAAGTTTATCATTCTCTGGTAAAAAAAAAAAAAAACTACAATGTCATTGTTTGCAGCATGTTTGTATCTCTTACTCCATCTGCTATGTCCCAACTGATTTCCTGTTTTGTGTTCTTGTTAGATACAAAGTCACATACTGATATTTCATAAAGATCCCCTAACATGCTTAAACAGATTTTTTGACTTAATCTATTAAAAGCCTAGCGGCCTATCACTATCCTGATATCAGCCAATACATTTAAAGCAGTGGTTCTTAACCTTGTTGGAGGTACTGACCCCACCAGTTTCATATGCGCATTCACCGAACCCTTCTTAATTGGAAAAATAAAATATGATTTTTCAAATTCAAAACATAGGTATATATTTAGGTATATATTTATACATAGGTGGACAAAATGAACAAAACCATTAAGAACAAAGAACAAAACCATTAAAACATGATTTTCACACAAAAACATAATAATGAATATTTACTGCACGAATCATATGAGTCGGGTGTGGGTCTTCACCTCCGCCGAACCCGCGAGACTGACTCACCAACCCAAACCCAGGTTAAGAACCACTGATTTAAAGTGTTACTAAACCCAGGACTCTGCATTCACTATATTTGGTCTCCCACCATATACAGAACATGGAAATGCAATTATTGTAGTAAATATAAACTGACTATCCTATGAGGCTGTATAACCCCTGACCCTCTGTCTGGACAGTGCTGATTGGCCCTGTGCTGATCACATGCACTCTCCCAAAGAAAAAAAAAAAAACTCTCTAGCAATACACACTAAACTGAGCATGTGCAGAATACCTCTTAAAGCTCTGTACTATTAAATGGATTGGGGACAGTAAAAGAAGGGGAGGATCAGAGAGGTCAGGATCAAATAGCCTTTTTACACAATGCTGAGGATTAACTCCTCAGGTTCCAGAGTGAGTATAACAAACATGCTTTACTGCATACAGACTGATTTTATTGTTGTGGGTTTAGTAACAGTTTAAGGTGACTTTATAACCAATATCCCAAATGTACAGATCTACAAATCCATAAGACATGTCTGTTAATATTGTTGCCTTAAAGGATATCCCCAAAACAAAAAAAATTTATATATTAGTAATTCTATTAATGACATTTAATGTTCCTTTGTGGCTAAATTCATGCCACCAATGTATCTGTGGCAGCCATGGTTGTCACACCAGCTGGATTTCAAACATGTCTACCTTTGTTGGTTGATAATTGGATTAGTATGCTACAAAAGAAAAAAAATATAACATTGCTTACACAGTATTTTCAGCTTATGTTTTTCTGGTAAGATTGACAGGTATTTTATGTACTTGCTGAAAATATTCTTGGCCTGATAATGCAAACTAATGCAGCCAACACATCCCAGGAAAGGTATTAGCTTTTTTTTTTCTAAATTCTTAACCCCTTTCCGTTGCATGTAAACATATATGCAGCCTCACAGAAGCAGGTCTTCTTCTGAGGTCACATATACACATACATGTCTTCGTACTGCGAGGAAAGTGCAAAGCACACTCCCAGCACAGTGACCGGGCTCTCACAGAGAACCCTGGGTTCCGTACTAACAATTGGGAACCGGGAAGCCCAGCAGGGATCATTTTTGCCACATCGTAATACAAAGCAGCATAGTCGGGGCATATGTACACCTCCAACCTCTGCAGATTAAATACAAAAGGCTTTTTTATTTATTTTAAGTTTAAATAACAAAACATGTTATAATAACCTGTCCTGTGTAGTGGTTTTGCACAGAGAAACCCCAATTGTCCTCTTCTTGATTCCCCTGCTGGTGCTCCTGGACCCATCCCTCTGTCGAGTGCTCAGTAGCAAGGCTTTTGCTATGGGGGCACTCGAGCAGGCTTGGTCCCGAGCCAAGCTCCTGTGAATGGACATTGTCCATTCACACACAGAGCATGGCTAAGCCCCCCCCTCCTCCTTATTGGCTGTGATTGACAGCAGCAGGAGCCAATGGCTCCCACTCCTGTGTGAGCCAATGAGGAGACAGAGACCTGGGAGAGTTGCTCCTCTCATACACATTACTGGATCGAGAAGGGGCTCAGGTAAGTATAGGGGGGATGGGGATAAAAAAACCTGCTTTCAAAACCACTTTAAGTGATTGAGGTGAGCTAAAAACTCGGCTTGACTGCAAGTTTTTACCCGCCTAATCCCAACTACAAGTTTAAACTAAACCCAAGACAACCCATACGGGACTCAACCCAGTAAGCTGAAAAAAAAAAAAAAAAAAAAAAAAAGGACTAGATTTTTCCCCATCCATACACTCTACGTGGATGCAGGAGACTTCCCTGCTGAGGTATTGTATTCCGACAGCAAGGAGACTTCCCCACTGCCAGAATACAATGATCAGTGCGCCGCCAGCTATAACAGCTGGTGGTGATTGAGCGGGGGAAAATCCAACAGGGCAGTTGGACAGAAGTTGATTGGTAGATCAATTTATGTACAACCTCCCTGCCCATACATGGATCGAAATTCAGCTGGTCCTTTCGGTTCACGTATGGCCAGATTAAAGCACAATCTGGTTAGACTATTGGTTATTATTTGTTCTGATCAGCCCAAAAGCATAACAAAATAAATCTATGCTTGTCTGTAAGCAATCATATTCCCTAGAAAGCTACTAGAGGAAGCATATCCATACATGGGAAAAAAAATGATATTTCCCCCCATCTATGTGAATAACAATCACTATAAATGTACCAAAGATACCACAGTTTTTCAATTTAGCTGTAACAGCATATTCTGGATAAAACAATAAAGGAACTGCCAGCCGTTTGCCGTGTTTTTTCCTATAATACAAATATTGTATATACACAAGAGCTGAAGAAATCTCAAGAGCCAGCATGTCTAAAATGATAAATGGTCCTTCTGAGTCCATTCTATTGACTCGTTGAAATAAGTAAAAATAAAGGTTTAATAAGCAAAAAGAGTAGAAATAAGCATCTTTATAAAACTGCCTGCTGGCTCCTAGACTGGGTGGATCCTGAATTCAGGATTTGATTGCTACAAATCCGCATACTGTAGGCATTTCCATTTCATTCGTTGAGCCAATCAGGATACTCAAAAGCTTCAGGAATAATAATGAAAGTGACAGAATTACATTTGTTAATGAGGGAGTGATCTTTATTGAATGGACGCACTATTGCATTGATTCAGACTACAGAAAATCTGCCAGGGAGAAAATTAACAACTTTTCAATGTTACAACTGTATTAGGCCAGGACATGGTGGTACGGCTGAAAGCAACATTTTCAAACATAAATTCCTATCTTGTATTCACAAAAAAATAAAAAACTACCAGCTGCCATTTTGAGGTCTCTTTTGTATCTAAGGCAGGCCATGCACTCTCCCAGCACTCTGAGAAAAATCAATGGATTTCCCCATCCGTGCTGAACAGCGTGCATGGAGGAATCTGCACTGTCGGCTATTGTATTCTGAAAGCAGCTGCCTAAATATCTAAGCAGTGATTGGATCTGATTGGGTGCAAGCTCCAATTTTTTTTTTTCCAGGTCAAAGTTTTTCTGGCCAACAGGGCAACCCATGCGTCAAATTTCATCCGAGCCCCCCTAACAACAGTTAGCTTTTAGTTGGTATTGACAGGAAATTTCTTTAGGAAGTGTTTATCAAGCAAGGCAGGAAAATAGACCTTTGAGGCAAAATAAAATTATGAGATGGAACACAGACACATAAGAGGAGGATTTTAATAGCTAAGTGCTCATTTTATGTGGAAAAAAACTTTTTTCTTACACGTGTTTTTAATTGCATGAACAATTTGAGGTGAAAATCATTATCTAATGAATTAGTAATGAATGCATGTGAAATTTCATGTGGCTTTCTGAAATGTTGTTAATGGATACCATTAAAATTTTTCATTTTAGATACAGAGATCCTCTAAAAAGGACAAGTTTAGGAAAAAACATTATTCTGGTTTTGAGTGTACACCGGTGGGTTGAATCATTGCCAGCTCATCTTCTCTCCCTAGGGCCCTTTCACACGGGTGCCTTCTGTTCCGATCAGCAGGAGATCTGTCCGCTGATCCTCTGCTGATCGGAGCAGAGTGGGGTGGATGACAGGTCAGTTTATACAGAACGCTCTATGGGCTCCTAGAGTAAACAGACTTCGCTGTCCGTTTACAACCCAGCAGCCTCTGATCCAGTCCATCCAAACAAAGTTGATTAAGTCCTCCTCCATTTTTTTTTTTTTTTTTAGCGGGCTGTAAGTGGTTGTAAAAGGCTTTTTGCATCTATTAGGAACAGAATTCCTAGGAGATACAAAAAGCCAGCTAGGATTACACCAACAGTACAAACAGCCAGCCAGGAATCTCCATCTTGGGTGGGAATACTTGAATGTAGAACAGCAAATCTAAAGAGACAGGAAGGCTCCCTTATAAAAAGCTCTAGATTCCAGCTGCCTTTCTTTTTTTTTTTCTAATATCAATCACAAAGTGGCAAAGATCTGATTGATTACTACAGGCAACATTAAGATGTCTATTTTTAAATCCGTGAATCTGACATTCAGCAAACATTCTCTGCAGGCAATTCCTCCAGCTCTGTGCAATTTACATGACAGTAAATGATTTTCCACCAAAGAATGATGAAAGTTACATTTACTGCTTTATAAACAAACCTCTAAGGACCCATTTATATTGTTGCATTTTAACATGTGTTCAATAAGCTAAAAACGCAAGCATCATAGATTGTCAAAAAAATATATTGTCTGTCTCACGCAACTGAGCGCTGCAGTGAGTTTGGAAATATATGGCATGTCTTTTTTTTTGTGGTTTACAGCCTTGGGAGTCCCACTGAAGTCAATGGCAGTGCATCAAAAAAAATATAACATGCGTTTTTATGTGCTGGCAACAAGTATTAACAAGCTTGGTAAACCTCATCCACGCTACATTCTAAAAGTCTTTGAAAATGCTTGTCAAAAAGCATAAAGGAAGCACACATTGTCACATGACAACGCATCTACCTAACACTACAAAACATGCGCCTCTGTGCTGTGTTCTTATCATAGCTTGGCTGATTATAATGCCTCCCCTAACAAAAAATTATTTAAAAAAAAGGATCAAGATTGAGTCAATATCTATTGTTCCAATTTTGTTGTGAAACATGCATGCACTTGTATGTATGCATCTGAAGACTCCCAGCAGACTCTGCATCAAGCAAGATCACAATAGGATGTACATAATACATCCAAATGCAGGAAGGGGTCAAGAAATGTATTATAACTCAAAAAAAAGAAAAAAAAAGAAAAAAAAAAAAAAAGAAAAAAAAGAAGACAGAAAGAAAGAAAAAAAAAAGGAAAAAAAAAAAGGAAAAAAAGGAAAAAAAAAAAGAAGAGAAAAAAGGAGAAAAAAAAAAGAAAGAAAAAAAAGGGAAAAAAAAGAGAAAAAAAAAAGGAAAAAAAAGAAAGAAAAAAGGAAGAAAGAGAAAAAGGAAAAAAAAAAAGAAAAAAGAAAAAGAAAAAAAAAAAAAAAAAAAAAAAAAAGAAAAAAAGAAAAAAAAAAGGAAAAAAAAAAAAAAAGGAAAAAAAAAAGAAAAAAAAAAAAGAAAAAAAAGGAAAAGAAAAAAAAAAAAAAAGAAAGAGAAAAAAGGGGAAAAAAAGCAATAAAAAGGGGGAAAAAAAAAAAAAGGAAAAAAAAAAAAAAAAAAAGGGGAAAAAGGGGAAAAAAAAAATAAAAAGGGGGAAAAAAAAAAAAAAAAAGAAAAAATGAAGTTTCCCATTCAAAAAATACATGGAAGCAATGTCATTTGCTAAAGGGTAAGAGGATGCAAAACAAGAAGCCATCTCTACAGATGCTTGAGACTTAAGTAAAGCGTTATACACAGGCTGATGCCATGTCAGATTGCAATACATATGCATAGGTTATGGAGATGAAAAGTATTGTTGTCTTGAATTTCAAGGGCAACTCCAACCAAATTTCAGCAAATTATTCTGTTTTTCTTCCAGAGAACCCAGCAGTGGTTGTGTGGTCTGTGGTGGGAGGCCTGAGCTGCCATCTACAGGTGAGATGTACCCATTGCAGTCTCTGAAACTGGACTTGCACCTAATCTATCTTAATTTTCCATAGCAACCAGTTTCCAAACATTTACAGTTCACGAATTCAAAATTACAAAATTTAAATATGTAAAAAAACTAGCAACTGTGAGCAACAACCCTATTTATTTGTTCCTTTTCATTTTATGATTTCCACTGTGTCAATGTATTTCATTATTCAGCTAACAGAAAAAAAAAAATGTACATTACAGCATGTGGCACTGGACACCACAGAATATTTTAAACTAGGACAAGGAGTGCTCTTTAGGCACTTACAACAAGTACAGAATAAGTTCTTACTTGCCACACACTCTTCTTTCTTGGGGGAGGGTTCCCTTAGAGGGGAAGGAGGTGGCCGATGCCACCGGCATAGATACATGTCTGTGGTGGAGAGGTAGGGCAGATCATCTGCCTCGCCAGGGTTTGGGTCATTGTCCTTTACTGAAGATGCTGCAGTGCCACCCCATGCAGATCTTATCGGGGTGTCTACAGGTGACTGCGACTTCTCAGGTGTCTCTTTGTGGCGCAGCTCTCGACGAACTCCTGCCTCTGGTACAGAGCCTCCAGGCTCAGTTTCTGGGATTTTCTACTGGCAAACGGGACACTTTACCCTTCATCTTTGCTAGGTCAGAAGACAGTCTCTTAACGGGGGTTCTGTGCTCTGCACGACCAAAAGCAGACTTCCTGGAAGTGAGAAAAAGAAAAATATTAACTGACTTACAAAGATGATCAGCTTGACACTTAGACCATATTCACAATCTGCGGAATTCTCTTCCCATTTTTGAAATGGTATTAGAAGCATCAGGAAAGTGAATATTTATACTTCTGTCTGCCATTGTTGGCACCAATTTTAGGTAAGCTCTGTGCACAGGAGATATCTGCTGAACTACCGTTCTTTCTGCTTCTTCTGCTCGGTGGACGACTGATCCATCTAGAATCCTGATTTCTCCTAAATACATAACGAGGAGAAATCAGGGTTTTAAACAACTCTGTAAACATACCCTTAGAGTGTGCTTGCATGAGGGATTGCAACTCTTCCATCAGACTCTTGAAAACTTTTTTTTTCTTTTAAATCAAAATGTACACCTATTAGACATTACAGGATGGAGTTGCTCTTGCAGAACATGAGTGGCTCTTGCTTGATCAGCTTAGGTAAACACTTGCGATATACACTGCTTCTCCATTTATTGCAGTTGTCCTATCCTCTAGATCCAGCAGGTCCAATCAGCTTTCCCTTTTCAGGATGGCTCCTTTCCCTTACACAGTCCTTTTGAGCCATCTTTTGTGTGTGCACTCCAAGCCAGAAGCTGTTGGCATCAATACAAACAGCCAGCAAGCTCTAAAGCTTTAGGACAGCATGCCACTCCCCTCCTCTAAGCCAACAGATAAAAGCTGCTGTCCTTTGTGACTTGGAACACAAGGCATGCCCTCCCTGACAGGAAGTTCAGGAAAGCTGCACTTATGGATCTGGAGCTGGCTCCAACAGATTCTCAAACAATCTTACAGAACTAAGTTCTTATGTCAGTGATTAAAGTGTTTCTAAAAGCAGAAGGTTTTTTTTTTGTACCTTCACTCTCTGCATTAAGGTATACACCTTCTCCATGCAGCTCCCCCCCCCCTTATACTTATCTGAGCCTGATCTCAATCTAGCATTGTGCGTGAGAACAGCAGCTCTCTCCCTCTTCATTGGCAAAGAAACAGCAGGAGGAGCCAGTGGCTCCTGCTGCTGTCAATCAAAGCCAGTGAGGCGGGAGCAGGGGGCGGGGCTTAGCTGCACACTGCTCGTCAATTGATGAAAAGAGCAGGGCTTGAGAACGAGCCAGTACGAGTGCCCCTATGACAAGTGGTTTGTTATGGGGGCACTCAGTGGCAAAAAGGAGACAGAAGCCACGGCGGGGGACCAGGGAAGAGGAGGATCAGGGCTGCTCTGTGCAAAACCATTACACAGAGAAGGGAAGTATAACATGTTTGTTATTTTAATAATGAAAACGTGAGCATTTACAGTCACTTGAGTAGCATTAAATAGACAGTTTTCTCCAACAAACCTTTTATGTCCCTTTGCATTGCGGCCATAGGAAAAGGGTTTTGGGGTAAGGCTTGATAGCCGAGGGGAGGCCTCTGGGGGGAACTCCCCACCCCCTGCACTCTCAGGAAGAGGACCCTCCGGCATGTCGACTGCCGACTCACGGCTTTGAGACGTGCGCTGTTTGTCCTTCTCGCTGTCCTTTCTGACCAACTGCATGCGTCTTTCCATCCGCTCAATGCGGGCCAGGAGCTAAAGGCAGAAGAAATAGAATTACAAAAAGCTACGGCAGACATGATAATAGAACCTAACAGTATGGATATTATGCAAAACAGCATGCTAATTCGCAGTGAAGAACACAGTCTACACTGCGGATGGCCTTTCCTTTAAGTCTTGCCTTTTACAGTGGTGCCAACTGTAGGTACCAGAAAGTGACAGTTCTGGGCCCTGTTATTTCAGGTAAGTCATATGAAAGGGGGAGGGGCAACAGAAAGACTTCCAGTATGGAGGTTTGATAGTGGAGAGGGTTATGCACATTATTTATCATGTATAACCCCCCAGTAGACATGAGTAATGATGAAATTGATATGTGCATGTGTGGGGGAAGGGAAGGGTGTGAAGCAGAGATGGACATTTTATGGAAAAGGGAAACAGAGTGTCAAGAAGGAAGGAGAGAGTCCACAAACAGCTATCTATACAGCAACCACATACAGTCTGCATTGCACCAAATTACAGGCATAGACAGACACCTATAATAACTAGGAGACATGCCAAGTATGGACAGTTCACGATGTCTGGAGGGTGCAGAAGGAAATGCAATGGCAGTGAAATAAAAAACAAAATGTGCAGAACCACATGCTACAAATGAATTCCATATTGAATGTTTCATATGCAGACAAGCAGGTATAATAAAACAAAAACCTCACTGCAATAGCTTAACCCTTTGTAAGCGTGCATCTCTGGTCCCTGTAGATGTCAGCTATAAAGGGTTAATGAGGATCTGAAGCCCTGCTGCAAAAAAAAAAAAAAAGGGGGGGGGGGGGGGCTACACAGCAGACAGATATGCTAGGAGAGCCATGCAGCAGTGAAAGGGTTAAAGGGGCAGACCTTCCGCTTGCATATCCAAGCTGCTGCAGGCTTGCGGATTCTGTTAACCATTGCTGCTGCAGCTAACTTCTCCTCTACATGGGGGGCGTTAAAGAGGGGAAAAAAAAAAAAAAAAAAACAAATCTATCCAGAGTCTCCCTCTGCTTTCACCAAACCTGAAATCCATGGTATACCATCCTCCTTTCTGTTGCCATGGCAGCCCATTTAAACCGCCACCCCCCTCCTCCAACGCCATGATGGTCCTGTGTGATTCTCATGAATGTGCTTAGGGTGGAGGGGGGGGGGGTTGTAAAGAGAAGGGGGAGGGCAATATGAAAGGAAAAAAAAAAAAGGGGGGGGGGGGGGGTTGCAGAGAGATGGCGAGGGAGGTGGCATTACCTCAGCCTGCATGGGTCCTTCCTATGGAGGGCTGGTGAGGCAGATTCCCCAGCATTACAGCATGCAGGCACCAGCTCAAACATCCGCACTCCATTTCCAGTCTCCCCCCTCACAAGCATCCTTCCCTCTCTCTCCACTACAAGTTCCCCTCTCTTCCGAAAAAAAAAAAAAAAAAAAAAAAAAAAAAAACCCTGCTCTCCCTCCCCCCCCCCCCCCCCCCCAGTCTGGCCGCAAGACGCACAGAATATAGCGAGGCTGGCTGTCTTGTGGGAAAATATATATGAGCATCGGGAGAATTGATCACATATCCGCTGAGGCTGCAGCTGTGATAAACTTTGCACAATGCACCCATTTTCCCTTTGATGTTCCTAGCGCACAATCACAGGCTGCTCATACATATTAACAACTCCTTCACAGATACCAGTTGACCGATAAAAACCCTCCAAGAGTTAGGAAGACAATGTTCAGCGCTAGAATTCCAACTTTTCTAGAAAGCTGCGATGTGGGTGAATGCGGTTTTTAGAGATCAGTGCACAAGCATCCTCGCAGACAGTTGTAGATGTCAGGCTTTTCACCGACAATGTAAGGAGGGAGGTGTAGAGTAGTGACCCAGAGGAACCACGAAAATGGATCAGATGATGTCAGACTGCACCCCCCTCCCCTACACATCTGCTGTGTACATGCAGATCAATAACCATCCATACATAACATTTATTGTACCACAACCCAAAAAGGTACAACTAGCACATTTAATATATGCAGAATACTCAACTGCATACATATATCTACTGTATATCTCTATGGGAAGATTTACTAACCACCGGTTCACATATATGCAGTCGTGCAGGCATGAGAACCCATTCACTTGAATGGACTCCTGTGCCCTGTGACACGCAAAGAAGAAATCCCTGCACTTCTTCCGAAAACACAGTCCGCACGGGAACCTCGGCTGCGTTTTCCAGTGTGGGTGGCGTGCCATTAGAACTAATGGCACCCGCCCACGGGTCCGCATTTCTCTGTGCAGGTGGTGCAGCTGCATGGATTTTCATGTGGATCCACAGTGGCACCCAGGGGCGGACTGACAACTCATGGGGCCCCCGGGCAATAGCGGATCATGGGATCCCTGTGTCCTTGCCCAAACTCAAAAAAGCCTATGAAAAAGGTACCAGTGGCATCTCATGGGGCCCCCTACTGACCCCGGGCCTTCGGGCAGTGCCCAAGTTTCCAAATGGTCAGTCTGCCCCTGGCAGCACCACCCGCACAGATGTGAACCTAGGGTTATACTGGATCACTCAGAATCTGCTGCAGCTGTGCATAGTAGCCAATCGGCTTCTAACTTCAGCTTTGACAATAAAACCTGAAAGCTGATTGGTTTCCATGCAGAGCTGCACCTTGCAGTTTTATTAAATAATTCCCTATATCTCACATTTTTACATTTATTTCAGGTACTTATATAGCGCCGTCAATTTACACAGCACTTTACATATATATTGTACATTCACATCAGTCCCTAACCCTCAAGGGGTGTACCATCTAAGGTCCCTAACTCACATTCATACATACACATACTAGGGACAATTTAGACAGGAGCCAATTAACCTTCCAGCATGTCTTTGGAGTGTAGGAGGAAACCGGAGTACCTGCAGGAAACCCCACACAGGCACAGGGAGAACATGCAAACTCCAGGCAGGTGGTGCTGAGGTTGGGATATGAACCAATGACCCTAGTACTGCCAGGCGGAAGTGCTAACCATTTAGCCACTGTGCTGCTCCCTATGTAGTGTTGTACAGCAAACTGCGTGTTTTACATTACAATGAGCAGCAGCAGTTTTTCTGTTCTGCATTTCCATTCATTCTGCTTAGCACTTTAATGTGCTTGTTAGGACATTTATTTTTTTTTTTTTTTTTTGGGGGGGGTTCAAAACCAGGTGGCTGAGCTGTGTTTTTTTTTTTTTTTTTACTGCCACCCCTTTGAGATACATACACCTCTGTCCAGCTGCCTTTGTAGGATATGTAAAGCCTCTGGGCTGTGGCAAAAACGATCCTCCTTTTTTATGTTGGGTGAGCAGTACTGCTACTGATCCCAGCCTATTCAAGCAAAGGAGACCGGCCACAACCGCATGCAGTGCAAGTGGCTGCGGTGTGGTGGTGCCGCATTTGCAGTGTTATAACCGGCTTCACTTGTCAGATGGCCAATCCAAAATTAATGGGCTTCTTAACCCCTTGGCGCCGACGCCACCTGGCCCTTTAACGGTTCCAGAAGCCGGGAAGCAGGGCAGGGTTTTAGGGTCATGTGACCGCCGTGATTCACTGTCACATGATCGGGACCTTTCCGTGAGTACCGAACGTGTGTGCTGGGAGCGTGCGCTCTCAGGACAGTTTTTTTTTTTTTTAAAAGAACGCAAATGTACGGTCGCTCAATGTCTAGGCCCAGACGCCGGGAGGACGCACATTTGCGTTTAGCTGGCGATAATATGTGTGGTAATGCACATTCAACGCTCGTGTGTTAAACTGACACACAGGTGTGAATAGGCCTTAAGGGCCGGTTCACACTATAGAAACGCAGTCCAGATGCATTTCCGCATGTGCGTTTCTGATGGTGTGTTTTTGATGCGTTCCAGTGTGTTTTTTTATGCATTCCAGTTCATTATTCCCCTTTTTTTCTTCAATTTAAATATGGACATGTGCGTTCCATATAACCTACTTTCTGTGCGTTTTGGATGCAGGAAAAAAAACTGAAACGCATGGAGTGTGAACTGGCCCTTAATGCATTACCATGTATACATTTTTATAGTAGATATTTTTTTAGAAACACTTCTGCTGAGCCAGAACCAGTAGACCTCATGCCTAAGATCATGTGTTAAGCTGGTTATACATGTTACATATTTTAGGCTGCCTAAATTGGAAAAAAAAAAAAAACAAAATTAAAAGATTTTATTGTTTTTTTTTGTTAAATCATACTTACCTAGGTGAATTCAGCATTGATCCACTGCTGCATCCATTCCCCCCTCCCCCCCCCCGGCTCTAAGGGTGAGAACTGAGTGATCAGACACCGCTGATCACTCAGTTCTCCCTTCAGCTCTGAGCACAGAGTGAGAACTGTCAGTCACCTCTCTCTGCTCTGCACCCCTCCACTGGAGCGCTGGGCTGTGGAGGGGGCAGGAGCGCATCGCTGGGAGGCTGAGCCAGATGCCGCTCCATACATCGAAGCGTGTGTTCTGTGAATGGGAAGACTACAAGTACCAGCAGTCTTTATGTATGTTGGCTTGTAGTTCTCAATGAACTACTAGAGAGCTCTTGAGCACTGTGGTAGTTCACTGATCCTGTCAGTATGATGTATGGGCAGACAGATTACACTGACAGTCTGCAGGAGATCTGCTGATTGCTGACGCAATGCTTTCCAGGCTCCTAAAACAAAAGAATAGTAAATGCACATTTCTTTTTCCAGCGCAAAAATGTTAATTTATTTTTTGTTAAAAAGTGTCAAACTGGTGGCCCTCCAGCTGTTGAGAAACTACAAGTCCCATCATGCCTCTGCCTTTGGGAGTCATGCTTGTAACTCTCAATCTTGCAATGCCTCATGGGACTAGTTTGGCAACAGCTGGAGGGCCGCCAGTTTGACACCCGTGCGAGTCAAACCTGTCTGATTAACCTAACAGGATCACAGAAACATTGGGGGAGATTCGCACAGACTCTGGTGCAGCTCTGCATACTAACCAGCCAGCTTATTCAATTAAGCTTTGACAATAAAACTTTGAAGCTGACTGAACACCTTGCACAACTGCACCAGATTCTGTGTGCACTGGTTTTAGTAAATCTCCCCCATTAGGCTCGTTTACATTCCTCTGAAAAGCGATTCAACGCTCAGATCCCTTTTCAGAGGCATCTGACAGGCAGGGAGGAGGCGATAGGTTGTTGTCTCACTGCCTGTTTTAACTCTCTAAATGCTGCAACTGTGCAGTTGCAGCACGGCCTCATTCACTCGTATGGATTGGGGGGGGTTGGTGTAAGCTGTAAAACGTGTACATCCCTGGTTGCTGCTTTTCAGTTAAAGGGGAAGCGGTTGAGGGGAGGTTAAAACATGGTCAACCTCCTCCCAATGTAAATAAGCCAGGGGGTCAAATGAATAAATTGTCCCATTTGAGTTGCTGGGGGGGGGGGGGGGGGTCCTTCCCACTGCATCATTGTATGCTGACAGTGGGGAGACTCGGTCAGAATACAATGATCAGCGCTGCAGTCTACAGCCTGCAGAGCTGATCAGGAGGAAATTTTAGAGCAAGCTGGGGGTACAGAAGTTGATCAGTAGCCACAGTGCCCATACGTAGATCAAAATTTCGGTCGGTCCCGGTTTAACTGGCTGAATTCTGATCCACCTATGGCCAACTTAACATTGGGCCCTGTAAAATGTAAATCCCGTGAGCTGAAGGGACCAACGGCCAATCATGGAATCGGCAATATCTTCCATGAATGAGATGTTTCCAGCATGGAACAGTCCCTGGAATACACGGATACATCTGTGCCTGGTCTACACCAGAGTGTCATACAATCCCAAATGATAACCCTGCACAGTGACTGAACATCAGGGGCCTTTCACAAGAACTGAAGCCCAGAACATTTCTGCTGTGAAGGGGTTAGACCTTCTGTCAGATCTGTGTCATGGGAGAGTTGTCAGCAGACAAAGACTAGAGGGGAGATCCACCAATGATGGCAGTGTTCAGTGACAGCTGTCTAGCTTTGACATCCTCTCACTTCCTGATGTGTCTCCAGGACAGGACGTGAAGGGAAATCTCTCCAAATGGGACACAGATTAAAAAACACCTGACAGGGTCTCGTAATTTGAAGTCAGATCTGTCCATCACTGGGGTTATAACCACTGCCTACTGTATCCAAGATGAGACACACACATATATAAACACATTGTACTGAATTGTCACATCCATCGTTCTGATGGGTTACATTTCTATGTAGCCGATGACAGATGTACAATACACACAGGAAAGGCAGCCCAGCCCCTTTGTCATGCCCACACCCGGTTCCCACACACAGGCCGCATCCCCAGCCTAGATTTTTCTCCCAACAGGTCCTCACCGTGTCCTTTTCGGCCCGGAGCTCCCCGATCTGGCGCTCCCGCTCCTGGATGCGGTGCTGCTGCTGCTCGATAAGGTCCAGCTGCAATAGGACGATCTGCTTGAGGCAGGCCCCGGCTCCCCCTCTGATCGGCGGTCTCCAGCGCGGGGGAGACGTGGAACTGGAGGCCGGGGCCTGGCCTTGCCCCGTGGCCGCCGTCGTAGCCGCCCCGGCCCCAGTCACCGCTGCCCCGGCCGCTCCCCCGCCTCCTTTCTCCGCCAGGGCCCCTGCTTGGCAGCCGAGCTTCCCGCACGGATCGGCGAGGAGGCTGGCCGGAGCCTTCCCTCCCCGCTCCGCGGCCCAAGCGCCGTCCACCGGCTGCTGCGGCCTACTCCGGCCCGCAAGCCCCGAGCTTTCCTGAGCCTCTTCCCCCGGCAAGGGGTCGTCGTGCCTCGGGCGGCACACACTGGCTTTCATACTCATGGCTCCTCCTCGGGCCCGGCATCCTCCTGCAGCCTCGAGTGAGGGGAGGAGGCCGAGGCCCCCGGGGCGCACTCTACACAGAACCGAGGAGGAGGAACCCGCACAAGATGGCGGATGGTGGGGGGGAGGAGGGCGGCCTGGAGCTGTGCGGTATACACGGGAGAGGAGGGTGACGAGGCCGGTGCCCGGGATACACACACAGCTCCGGACAGGAGAGCCGAGAGAAGGGTGTGAGCCGTACACAACACAAGGGTGTGTTCTACTGTGTTATGGGGCGGTACTGCGAGTGTGAGGGAGAGAGGACAGCCTGGGGCGGATATTTACCTCACACAACACTATGCTACACTACCTGTGTATGAGGAGGGGGAGGAGGAGAGCTCCCACCACTTATATCGCAGCGTGTTATATACATGGAGATATGTGCACACAACTGTCCCCTATGAGGAGACACCCTCTCCTTCATAACAGGAGAGCAATGTCCTTCATGTCCTTTTCTGCTACACATCTCTCCCTGACTGGAAAGCACATCTCTGTCACATTCTGCTCCATAACCGAGCGCTGCACATCACTCCCTGACTGGAAAGCACATCCCTGTGTCACATTCTGCTCCATAACCGACCGCTACATATCTGTCCCTGACTGGAAAGCACATTTCTGTGTCACATTCTGCTGTCCATAACCGACCGCTACATATCTGTCCCTGACTGGAAAGCACTTCCCTGTGTCACATTCTGCTCCATAACCGAGCACTACACATCTGTCCCTGACTGGAAAGCACATCTCTATCTCCTCTCCTGTACATCCCATATCCTTCTATCCCTCCATCCTCCACCATTATCCATCACTGAGGAGCCATATTCCTCTGTTCCTCTCAACACAAAACTGTCTCTCACAGCAGTGCAAAGTCCTTCATGTCCTTCAGTACTACATATCTGTCCCTGACTGGAAACCACATCTCTATGTCCTCTCTTGCACATCCTTTCCTGTCCCTCCGTCCTCCACAACTATCTATCAATGAGGAGGCATTCCTCTCAACTTGAAATTTTCCCTCATAGGAGAGCAATGTCCTTCATGTTCTTCTCTGCTACACAGCTGTCACTGGCTGGAAACCACACGTCTATGTCACATTCTGCTCCAAAACCGACCCTTACTGGAGAGCTAACCCTCACTACTACATGTCTGTCCCTGACTGGGGGGCCACATCTGCCTGATCTCTCCTACACATCACACATCCTTCTGACGTTCCATCCTCCACCATTATCTATCACTGAGGAGCCATGTTCCTTTGCTCCTCTCAACACTCTCAACTGTCCCTCACAGGAGAGCAAAGTCCTTCATGTCCTTCTCTACTACATATCTGTCCCTGACTGGAAACCACATCTCTATGTCCTCTCGTGCACATCCCATATCCTTCTGTTCCTCTGTCCTCCACCGTTATCTATCACCGAGAAGCCATGTTCCTCTCAACACGAAACTCCCTCACAGGAGAGCAAAGTCCTTCATATCCTTCTCTACTACCTATCTGTCCCTGACTGGAAACCACATCTCTATGCCCTCTCCTACACATCCCACATCCTTCCTTGTCCCTCCATAACTATCCATCACTGAAGAGTCATGTTCCTCTCAACCTGAAACTGTCCTTCACAGGAGACCATAGTCCTTCATGTCCTTCTCTGCTACACATCTGTCTCTGACTGAAACCACATCTCCCTGGCCCATCTTACTCCAAAAGCCACCCTTAGGCCTGGTTCACACGTATGTATTTCTTAGTGTTTTTTGCATTTTGCAGAAACTTTCTACAGTCCATTTAACATGGTTTTCTATGGGACAGGTTAACATCCATGTATTTTCAGCCACTGCGTTTATGGAAAGGGTCAGAATCTTTTTTCCCCACAGCAGATTGCAACACGCATAGGTGTGAACTAGGCCTTACTGGAGAGCCAAACCCCACTGCTATGTTCTTGACTGGGAAGCTCATTTGTCTGTCCTCTCCAGCACAAACCACATCCCTAAGACCTCAATAACTATACCTCATTTGGGAAGCTAAATCTCTCTGTCCCCCTCAGTCAAAAACAGTCCCTTCACTAGGGTGCTAAATCCTTCCTCTCTGTTCCCTGTAACTATCCATCTCAACGTCTTCTACAACTATCCATCACTGAGATGCTATATTCTTCTCATCCTCTCGCCCTCAAACTGTTCATCACTGAGGAGCTCAATCCTTCTGTCCCTATCTGCAATACATCTGTCCCTGACTGGAAACCACATCTGTCTGTTCTCTCCAGTAAAACCCACATCTTGCTGATCCTCCATCCTGCACAGCTATCCATCACTGAGGAGCCATGTTCCTCTGTTCCTTACAGGAGAGCCAAATACCAATGCTGCATTCCTGACTTGGTGCCACATTTGTCTGTCTTCTCCAGCACAACCCACATCATTGTGTCCCTCCAGTCTCCAAAATCTATCACTGAGGATCCAAGTCCCCCCAACCGTCCCTTCACTAGGAAGCTGAATCCTTCTGTCCTGCTCTGCTATACATCTGTCACTGACTGCAAGCCACATATGTCTGTCCTCTCCTGCACAATCCACATCCCTCCAACCTCCACAACTATCCTTCATTGGGGAGATAATTCCCGCTGTACTATTCTGATTTATATCTGTCCCTGACTGCAAGCCACATATGTCTGTCCTCTCCTGCACAACCAACATCCCTCCAACCTCCACAACTGTCCTTCATTGGGGAGATAAATCCCGCTGTACTATTCTGATATACATCTGTCCCTGACTTGAAACCACATGTTCCTCTCACCCTAAAACCGTCCCAAACTGAGGGGCAACATTTTCTGTCTTCCAAAACTGTCCTTCATTGAAAGGCTAAATCCCTCTGTCCCCCAAAAACTGCTGAAGGGTTACATCCTTCTATTCTCCAAACCTTTCCATTACTGGGGGGATAAAACCTTCATCCTCCAAAACTGTCTCTCACTGAGAGGCTAAATCTTTCCATCCCCCAAAACTATTCCATACTAAACCCTTCCATCCTTCAAAACTGTCCCTCATTGAGGGTCTAAATCCCTTGTCCTCCAAAGTTATCCCTCACTATAGGGCTAAAACCCTCCATCCTCCAAAAATGGTTCATCACTGAGGGGCTAAATTCCTCTGTCCTCCCAAACTATCCATCACTGAAGGGCTAATCCCCCCACCCTACAAAACTGTCCCTCATTGAGGGTCTAAATCCCTCATTCCTCCAAAGTTATCCCTCACTATAGGGCTAAAACCCTCCATCCGCCAAAACTGTCCATCACTGAAGGGTTAAATCCCCCCACCCTACAAAACTGTCCCTCACTCATGGTCTAAATCCCTCTGTCCTCCAAAGTTATCCCTCACTATAGGGCTAAAACCCTCCATCCACCAAAATTGTTTTATCACTGAGGGACTAAATTCCTCTGTCCTCCCAAACTGTCCATCACTGAAGGGCTAAATCCTCCCACCCTACAAAACTGACCCTCATTGAGGGTCTAAATCCCTCAGTCCTCCAAAGTTATCCCTCACTATAGGGCTAAAACCATCCATCCTCCAAAATTGTTCATCATTGAGGAGCTAAAATTCCTCTGTCCTCCCAAACTGTCCATCACTGAAGGGCTAATCCTCCCACCCTACAAAACTGTCGCTCATGGAGGGGTTAAATCCCTACCTTAGTGGCCTCACTTTTGCAGAAAGCCATTTTTGAGACTGGATTGTGCGTACTGACAAGCTGGTAACAACCGTTTAGACAGTTGAACTGTTATCTGGATGATAACTGGCAGCATGAACCCTTGACTGCCTGGTAACTATTGACGGTAATTGCCTGGACCTTTTCTGTTAGGCTCTAGGTTGACACCAGTGGCAGTCCTTACCACCCCTTTGAAGAGGAATCCATGGTGGACCACCTTTCAGAGGCCATTTTCAGGCTTTCGAGAGTTAATACTGCTAACTGATTGCTTCTTTCTTTAAATTCTTACAGCCAATTGGGAATTGTACAGTGAACTATCATGCTGAAACCTAAGCCAAGGGTTTGGTTTGTGGCAGGCTCCCATTTATGTTTGAGCTTGACAAGAGGCGTCACTTGTCAAATTCTCTCTGCAGAGTTAAAATTGCCTTGGTCACCCTAGTGACCACCATGTTCTTTCGGAGGTAAAATGTGACTGATTTGCCTGTTTTTACTGCCTGTGTGGATGAAGCCTTAAAGGGAACCAAGCTTTGTGATAGTTTAGCTAACTATGAAGGCTGATGTTCTCCTATGTGAACATTTGAACTCAACAAGTTACAGAATGTAACCATGTAAAAGGACACCCCTATATTACTTTTATGCAGAAAAATGGGACTCCAAATAAAATCTCTATGTCCTTATAAACTACCGTAGGAATGAATTATCCTGTTTAGTATGGAGGGATGAGTCATACCCACCACTGTGCCAGTCCTCTCTTATTTAAGTCACAAACAAATTTTGAAAGTGGGCGAGGATGTGCTGAGCTGCATTGCTGAGTTTATTAATTATAGCCAAATTTATATTACAAATCATTTACAAAAAGCACCATAGGAGATGGTTTATTATAGATGCCATGGCAGCTGGTCTCAAAAAGTGATTGACTAGAACGGCTGTGAATGGCTGGCCATACTCAGCCAACTGTTGGTACATACACTTGAGGGATCACTTGCAGAGTCATGCAATGTATGGGTTAACATTTGCTCTGTATCAAGCACTTGTAAAATGTCTAAAGCTGGCCATAAATGTAAAGTTTTTTTACTTGATCCCCCCCCACCCATGCTAACCTGTGGATAGATGAATCTGCAGTGCTATCGTATCCTGACAGCTGGCACCCGTGGTTGTCAGAATACCCGAACGGTGCCTGCATCTAATGCAGAGGCACTATTTGGACCAAGAATTGTCATGATGCCTTTTGAAAAAGTAATTTGAAAAACGTATTTTTTTTTCAAGGAGGGTAGTGCCAGCAGAGCCACCCATG